CCCAATGCAAACCAAAGGAGATACTCGAAGAAATTCACCGGGTTCATGGGATTACACTATCATACAAGCAAGCCTGGAGGGGAAAAGAACGGATCATGGCTGCTATTCGCGGCTCATTCGAGGAAGATTATCGCCTTCTTCCTCAGTATTGTGATCAAGTTCAAAAAGCAAATCCTGGGAGCATTGCACTGGTTTATAGCAACCCTAATGATGGCAGTTTTCAGCACTTATTTATTTCCTTTCAAGCATCAATCTATGGGTTCCTAAATGCCTGCCGACCCCTCATTGGACTTGATAAAACTTGTTTGAAAAGCAAGGACCTTGGCAGCATACTTCTTGCCACTGGTTTTGATGGAGAAGGTGCTGTTTTTCCTTTAGCATTTGCAGTGGTTGATGAGGAAAATGATGATAACTGGACGTGGTTCCTCTTCGAGTTACATAAGCTGCTCGAGATCAACACAGATAACATGCCAAAGCTCACAATTTTATCAAACCGGAAGAGATGTATCGTGGATGGCGTAGAAGCCAACTTCCCAACTGCATTCCATGGATTCTGCTTACATTATCTGGCTGAAAGTTTCCACAAGGAATTCAACAATTCAATACTACTTCCCCTTTTTTGGGAAGCTGCAGCTGCTCTCACAGTCATCGAATTCGAAACAAAAATCCTTGAAATTCAACACATATCACCAACTGCAGCCTTGTGGATTCAAAACATTCCTTATACCTTATGGGCAACATCACATTTTGAAGGAAAAAGGTTCGGACACCTAACTGACAACGTAGTCGAATCACTTAATACTTGGATATCCGAAACCTCAGGCCTTCCTATCATTCAAATGATAGAGAGTATCCGTAGGCAAATGATGAGTTCCTTCAACAAACGTCGCGAAACAAGCCTGCAGTGGACTGGGACGCTGGTGCCTTCCGCAGAAAGACATGTATTTGAAGCTGTGGAACTAGCACAGGCTTATCAAGTTATCAAAGCAAATGAAGCAGAATTCCAAGTTATAACTGACAATGGAAGTTTCTTAGTAGATATTCGTATTCGACATTGTTTATGTCGCGGATGGCAGCTGTGGGGATTGCCCTGCACACATGCTGTAGCAGCTCTACTTTGTTGCAGGCAGAATGTTTATAGATTTACAGAGAGTTGCTTCACAGTAGCGAATTATCGAAGGGCTTACTCGCAGTCAATATACCCAGTTCCTGATAAACGTTTGTGGAAGGATAAGAAAGAAGATGTTGGAGATAATATGATTATAAGGCCGCCCAAATCAGCTCGGCCTCCGGGATGGCACAGAAAAAGAAGACATCGGTTGGAGACCAGTGGTAGCAACAAGCGAGCGGTGCATTGTAGCCGGTGCAATCAGGCTGGACATTTTAGAACGACATGTCCGGTTTCTATGTAGATCTAGTTACAAATTTTATATCGAGAATATATAAAAATGTACAGTCGATTTAAAAATAAAATTACTTATAAAAAAAAAATATATATCAACTATTTTTTTTATCATTTTAAATTTAAAAATATAAATAAATTTACATAATTTAATCATAAATGAAGGTAAATCACTGGGAGAAGGCAACTTGTGGGCTACTAAGGGGACTGTAGAAGGAATGAGCATTAAAGTTGGTAAAACACAGAGAATTAAGTTTAATATAAAGTGAATTGAATTTCTGAGTAATTTACTTCTCATAAAACTGCAAAAATTTGCAAATGGCAATATATGACTGATTAGATATGTCATAGGTCAAAATGTTGACTGGAATATTAGGTTTATGGAGATATAATTAATTACTTATATACTAATTAGCTAATCCGTATATCAATTTTAATTATGGTCTTAGCGGTCCAAATATATTTATTTTAAAGCTCGATATTTTGTTAAATTTATTTTATTAAAATACTATATAATAAAAAATAGTAACACGAAGTTCAGAATGTTTTTCATCGTTTTATATATCATCGTTTGAATTCTACAAATCAATCTCGTTTAATGTAATCTCAAAAACTAATCAATTCTTATTTTCTTTAACTTATAATATATTCCAGAGTGTAGAAATAAAATTTATATTAAAGTTTAAATTTTTATTGTATGTTTTTTCTAGAGCCGCCTCGTTGTCCTAAAACGATGACGTTTCATTCTGCGTGCAGTGCAAATGGAAGTCAACAATGTTTACTCGATGTTATTAGTAGGAGCATTAAGTAAATATTATTGACTTTCACTTGTACCGAATGTACTAACAAAATGTCATCGTTTAGGAGGACGAGGTGGGTCTAGAAAAATACACAATAAAACTCAAAACTTTAATATAAAATGCCATTTGTATGTATGTGTGTATATATATATATCTCGTTTTGAACAGATGCACAACCCTAAGGGTTAGAGAAACATGAGAAAATTAAATTGAATAAAATAAAATAGTATAGAGATAAAAAAAAAATATTTAAATTAATATCACGTGTTAAATCTAGTGATATATATAGTAAATATGTTAATAATGTCAA